TTCAAATTCCAGCTGTTGTGTTCGTTTTCGCAAAAATACTCTTGGAAAATTATAAAGTCGGCGATTCTTTTTCAATATGCTAGAGGTTAATAGAACAGACGAGGCTTTCTAGATTCGGTTGTTAAACACTCTTAGAGAAGTTGAAATCCGATTAAAAAAAAATGGTTGTGCGCAAGGCTAACAACTACGTCCAGTAAAATTTATTTGCCGTGCAAAACTAGAACATTAAGAACTGGAGAGGTGAAGCTGTGGCCATATACTCCACTGAGAGTCTACAGGATTGGTATACAGATTAAGTTCTGGTGGTCGGATAGGTGTAACGTAAGTCGTCTGGATTAGCATTTAAACGCACTCATAACCTACCAGAATCCAACCGAAACATATCCCTTTTATAATCTTTTATTTAAATTCCTTGAAGTTGGCTCCCAGGCATTCCTTGTCGCAGCCATTACAGACTCTAGTGTAAATTTATGCTTCAGGTTTTAGGAAGAAGCTGCAATTGAATACGAATAGAAACGGGATGGTTCGAATGTAGTTAACATGGAAATAGCGATAAAATAGTGAGAAGCTTCTAACGTTTCGCCTTTGGGAAAAAGGGTTGGAGGCTGGAAAATAATCCGTCACCCACAAGGACGCGGAGACGATTTTGAACGCTATCGAAGGTGGAAAGTTAAAACTGGACAGCTCCTACCATATATGGTCACATTACTCCATTGCAAACGTAGAGGGTAGCAGGAGGAGTCAGCTACTTACTGCAGCAGCACAGGAACCCGATCATTTTCCCAGCATCTTTAGCGATGGATGGTATGCATGTGGTTCACTTGGGACAGATTAAGCTATGTTCGTCTTTATTGTTGCCCAAACATCGCGACATTTTCTTGCTTTACATCAGGCTTGCACAAAATACAGTCCGCGAGCCTTATGCGATCCATGAGGCTACTAAGTTAGGTCTGAGCTGGGTTTTCATAATAGTGAATTCTTATGTGTTAATCAGAATAAATTCGACGTCTGATCAGTTTTGTGGAAGTATGACTTAATATTTCATGGTCTTTGCATCTAATTATTCTATTTCATTCACTGTAGAAAAAAAAAGAATATTTCGTCCTACTTTACATATGTGTTTATTTATCACTGATACTGAAAATCGTATTTAATTGTTATATCCAGACTAGAATCGAATCAAATTTTTTTAAAGTTTTTAACATTCTAACAATGTGGAGAAACATTTTGAAACTCCAGCGTAATAATGAAAATCGTTGTATAGCGTTCTCAAAAAGCCGGTATTCCCTTGTACTTTATTTGGAGAAAGTTTTTGTGAGGAAATTGAGAAAAACCGACGTCATATTTTGATGTTAGTTGTCGGGGTAGTCTGGCGAACAATGACTGAAGGTGCAGACGCCCTTTCCAACGTCGCTCTGTGATTGAGTACTCAAACATATTACAAGGGCGATCTGAAAACTTCATTGATTGACTATGAATGAGTGATTCTAGAGACGTGAAGTTTTGCATGCATTAATTTAATCTCTTTTTTTATTATAAATAACTGCATTGTTTCTTTCCAGACATCTGGCTGTTCAAAGAAGACTTCAAACGTGACTAGTAGCGGCTTCTTTTGAAAATGCACAAAATGTGGCATCATGGATCAAGTACCTGCAGAAAACGGGTTTAGCCCCCAAGAACATTCATGCTGATATAGTTGCTACATTAGAGAATGACGTTTCAGATTTATTAATAGTGTAAAAGTGAGCAGCTGAATTTAGGAAGGGAAGTGAGAGTCCTGAAAATGGTTCAAGAATATCCTGCAGCTGCCATCACAAAGGAAAGCATTGATCGTGTTCATTACATGATGATGGTGACAGGCGATTTACTATAAATGAAATAAATAATAGTATTAACATATCCTGTGAGAGAGGTGCGAATATTGTGCATAATGAACTTGGCATGAAAAAGATGAACCGAAAAATCATCCTACGTTGGGAAACGTTCAAGGAAACCAGACAGATTTGTCTCAAACAAAGTCAGATTTTCCCGTAATGCGATCAGCCTGGTGCGCTTTTCATCAGCTGCCAAAAGACGTGCCACCCACCGAGCTGAGTCCTTGGTTTCAATGGTTCCTGCGCATGACTGTGGCTGTGGTTTTGAACTGATCGAGCTCTCTCCCTATTTTCTTGATTTGACTCTAATCTGTTCCTCAACATGAAGAAACAAAACACTTGGCTGAGAATCATTATCGCAGTGTTGATGACGTCAAATCTGAAGTTTACGACATTTTTTAACAACAGGATGATAATGTCAGTTTATCTGGAAAGGTACAATTGAGGTATTAATAAAGGAGTTAAAATTAAGGCATGCAAGATTTCACAGATAAGCATAACTCCTTAGTCAGCCTATTTACCCTTCAGTCCACCCTCGTGCCTAGAAAGAAACAATGCAGTTATTAATAAGAAGAGTTGAAATTAAGGCAAGCAAGACTTTCCAGATGAGCATAACTCCTTCTTAGTCAGCCTATGAACCTTTCAGTCCAGCCTCGTGCCTAGAAAGAAACAATGCAGTTATTAATAAGAAGAGTTGAAATTGAGGCAAGCAAGATTTTCCAGATAAGCATCACTCCTTCTTCGTCAGCCTATGAACCTTTCAGTCCAGCCTCGTGCCTAGAAAGAAACAATGCAGTTATTAATAAGAAGAGTTGAAATTAAGGTATGCAAGATTTTCCAGATAAGCATCACTCCTTCTTAGTCAGCTCATGAACCTTTCAGTCCAGCCTCGTGCCTAGAAAGAAACAATGCAGTTATTAATAAGAAGAGTTGAAATTAAGGCAAGCCAGATTTTCCAGATAAGCATCACTCCTTCTTAGTCAGCCTATGAAACTTTTAGTCCAGCCTCGTGCCTAAAAAGAAACAATGCAGTTATTAATAAGAAGAGTTGAAATTGAGGCAAGCAAGATTTTCCAGATAAGCATCACTCCTTCTTAGTCAGCCTATGAACCTTTCAGTCCAGCCTCGTGACTAAAAAGAAACAATGCAGTTATTAATAAGAAGAGTTGAAATTAAGGTATGCAAGATTCCACAGATAAACATCACTCCTTCGTAGTCAGACTATGAAGTTTTCAGTCCACCCTCATATTATAGCTCAATTTTTATTAAAATATCAAACGTTGGAATATGTAAAATCAAATATCACATAACCAGGGAGTAAAGTTAAGAAGCGCTGGACAAAATATTAAAAACTAAATCTTAAGTTTCCTTAGTGAAAAATGAAAAAAAATATAGTCGACGCCTGTTTAACCATTAACAAAAGACGAAACGCTGTCTTTCTTCTTTATTAAGACACGCCCCTTTAGGAGATATTAGTGCATTTGTGTCCTCTTTCAACTAGATAATGTATCCTTGCGACCCGCAGCTAATTTTCTGCACGGAGTCAAGCCCTTCATATATTTTAATTGTGAAGTTTTGCTCTACATGATTTCATCATTTACTTGGGGGTCTTTAACGTCTTCCAATAAACTCTACTTTTTAATTTGATTACTATCGTAGTGAATTATTGGATGCTCAACAACTTTGACCGTGTGCCGGGCTAAATGGAATATAGAACGACCTGCTTTGTGGCAGAGATAGTTGAAATTCTTTTCACTGGTTTCAATGTTATCGATCCTGACCTGGCATCTCGACTCCAGTAACTTTCCTACTGACTTGACGTGGCTTCCCTCTGTCTTTTTTATGAATATTTTTATGGCAGGTGGGCTCCACTCCTTAGTAGCTCGACTTCATGAATTTAAGGGTACTTCTAGATTGGCTATTAGGTCTCATCGTTTTATTGTTGGTATAGCTAGATGTAATTGTATGTTCTATTCTAATAGTTTTTTTTCTAGCATTTCTCATTTCTGGAGGAAAAATATGCAAGCATTCAATGATGAAGAAAATATGGAATCTTATAATTTACATGCCAAAAAACACATACCAAAACGAACCGAGACATGCAAATTCGTCTGCAGTTAAAAGCGGATGCTTGCGGAGATTAATGAACTGTGGAATTTTTTAAATTGAAAAGAAACTGCCAATTGAAACAATGGAAAGGATTATAAAGCTTGTCTGAGGTTGAGTCATAAATAATTTCCACAAGTTATTCTTCAAAAAATAAAGTACAATTACAATTTATTCAATTATATAATCAATTATCATCTGCAATGATTTGTTGCCACTTCTTCCCCAACTTTTAACGTAAAAAATATTTCAACGAACACGTGAACCGGGTTTTAATTACAGAAAGTTTTTTTCACCATCAAAACGTATTTCAGTCTACGAAAAATGTAGTAATCGGTTTGTGCAAAGTCATGGGACTATGGCGGGTGTAGTAGAACAGACCAAACAATTATTTTCCCTCGAGTTATTCTTACTGTACGCTTCCTTGCGTCGTCATTTTTACTATTAACGAGCGCAGGGAGCTTTTTAGGAAAACCTTCATGGACACGTTGCAGCTGCTGAACTCATAAGTGTGCATTTAATGTTTCATTGCATTTTGCGAACTATAAATGAATAATACCGGAGTTCACTTCCTTCTGCATTGAATATTGTCGTATTTAATATATTTTTCATTACCTGTTAGATATATTTAGTTAGCATGCCACGTTAATCATTGCAATTGGTTCCCAAAGCAATAATTATTTATTATTCAGTATAATATTAATACTTTCGTTTCGGCTACATTTTTACAACAGCATGTCCGTATCAAGCTAATTCTGGTAAAAGACCATTGTTTGATTCATTTTCTACAGCTTTGCAAGTTATTTAAAGGTAAAACATATTTTTAGTTTTTAAGAATTTTTTAAGAAGTTAATAATAATTTAGTGATACTAGTCTGACTAATTAACACCTAGCGAGGGAGGAGAGGTGAATACATATCTTTCCCAAAGGTATTTGCGTGTAAGTGACTATAACGAACCCAACTGAAATTTGAACTCCTCTCTCCGATTAACATTATTACACTAGCCACGCATCCATGTTTACATCACCTGTTATTCCCAAGTGGTCATCCATCTAGCTACTGACCAGGCTCGACTTTACTTAATTTCGGTGATTGTACGGGAATCGGTGTTTCAAAGTGATATAGCCCTAAGCCGGTAAAGGCCAGAAATGCTGGAGACGCAGGAAGATTAATTGGTGAATTATTACCCAACGATAATATTTGCAAGTTGTTATTTCCACAGGATAGCTAAGTTTGACGCACACACCGCCGGATAAGTGCACTCATTGAATAGAAAAGTCATTACATTAGCGAATTGATCTGCAGGAGACGTTTAGACGCCCACACAGCCTGGGTAGTTGAAGAAATAGTAAGGGACAACATTCTCCGTCGCATTCATTGTAATTCTTAATTCCTGATGTTTTGTTATTCTGGTGAATGTGTGAAGAGGCATCTCCAGTGTCACTTTTATCGCCAATAACTCGAGCGAAATTGTGGTGCTGTTGGTAGTTGACGTTTACGAATATGACAAAATGAAATCATTTATATGCCGGCTATAGTAGATTGCGAAAAATGATACCCAATAGAAAGTTACGTTCAAAAAGACATTTCATCAAGAAAAAAGTGTAAAGAGCCAAAAAATTATCAATAATAATAATCGACCATTTTTTACAGCCTATGGTGAAAAGCAAAAATAATCAGTTTATTTTTTTAAGTCACGAGTGGTAGTCTGAAAACAAATTTTTTACCAACAAACAACGTTATATGCTTTGCATAATAATAATGATATATTCGAGGATATCCATCTACTAGTCAATCCCTATTGAAGACGCTTGATCAGGCGCATTTGTGTTTATTCAGAGTCCACCTTTAGTTTATACTGCAACCATGCTGAGCAGACATTAGTTACAATTATCTAGCGTTATTAACAATTTGAAAAGGCCAGCACGCTCATGTCCTCGACCACGATGACTTGTAACTTCGTGCTAACACAGCTATCGACGGTTCTGTCTACCCAATTTCACTTGTGGTATGGTTTTCAGACACTTTCCAAAGGTGCCACACGCTGGGAATCGACTCCTCTCGTCCGATAAGACCAAGAAGTCTCCTTTCTGACAAATTTACCATGGTGAGATTCGAACCCGTGTCTCATGGTCAGAATGTGAACGTTCTAACCACTCAGCCACTTGTCAATAATAATAATGAATAATAAAAGAAAAAACCTGTAATGAAATGGATTATATTTTTTAAAAAGTATTTGATATATATATATATATATATATATATATATATATATATATATATATATATATATATATATATATATATATATATATATATATATATATATATATATATATATATATATATATATATATATATATATATATATATATATATATATATATATATATATATATATATATATTATATTCCTTGGGTCATTGCTGAAGATAACTACATTTTGCTATTGCTTTGGTAGGTATAGTCATAATAAATAGAGTAGTTTGCTTTTTGGCTTACGGCCACAACACGTTGAAAATCCGATTCTCCTATGATATTCGAATTTAAGCAACGTTGAGTCTTGTCAGTAATAGCCTATTCCCCATATAAGATAAAAAAATGTTTGATTATATATATATATATATATATATATATATATATATATATTACTTGTTTCAATTCTCTTTTACGCAAATATAGATTTGTTTGAATTTTTGCTTTCTGCTTGGCTTCTTCTTATCTGTTTCTCTTAACAGCATGGGTACAAGTAATCGTAGCTCTGGGCTTCGTGAGAAAAGGAATGGACAATTTTACTAACAATACCCAGATAACATCAACATACAAGTTGCCCAGATGATTGGCCTACAAGGAACATCCCATATACTAAGAAAAGTGCTATCAATTAAATGACAATTCTCCTATTAGGACTAAGGATCATAGTTTGGACCCGGCTCTATAGGATACAAAGAAGGAAACATAACATACACAAATAATAATAATAATAATAATAATAGTGAGGAACCTGCAAAAAATTGGTATAAACACCGCCCAGACCATGTTACGGAGATAGGATCTCTAACAATTTTATGTGACTTTACACACAGACAGAACAATCAAACCTAATCGCCTAGGCATCATGACGAGACGGCGCAAAGAAAAAATGTGCCTCCTTATTGACATGGCAGTTCTTGTAGACTGTAATATATCTTTGAAGATCTTCATAAAACGATGAAAATACAAAGATCTTGAAATGGAACTCTCAAAAATATGACACATGACGAAATCAAGGAGATACAAAAAATTGTTCTGACAATTACAGCCCACAGTTTACGAAGGGCTTTATCTATGTAATTTCTTTTTTTTGTCAGTGGAAAGTGTCATGCTGCCATTTCTAACCTTAGGTCCATGGGTGGGACCCGGAAAGAAATGTGTAAACGCCAGAAATCAAAGAAAATAATAATAATAATAATAATAATAATAATAATAACGTTTTTTAGAGTGACACTAGTTTAAATAGAGTGAAATGTATGGCTCGCGCAGTAAGGTTGTGTTGTGCCAATAATTCAAAAGAAGTAAGCATTCCTGCCATTCGACATCCAGGCTTTTCACCTGTTTTCGAACATCGACCACAGACTGCAGTGGAAATAGTTTTCACAGTACTGAGTTTATCACAGGCGAGTATTCTAGTTTAAACTGGTACAAGGCCACAAATACTGAGTGTCTAGTGATGATCACACGCATTACAGTCATAATAACCTCTTATATGTGCCATGTCCCTTGAGAACGTGTGCGATCGTGACACTCCACAACTTCCTATCTTTTGTATCACTTATTGAGGTTTGTCTCGCTACGTTCCGATTTTGACATTCGTGTTAGATAGGCTACTTGTGATTTGCTTTTGTCCCACTTTTGGCTTCAATGTCTTTTGAGTGTCAAATTCTTGAGGATCACTTTCCGTTTGGCTTTACAAGAGATGGTTGGAGGTAAAAGAAAATCAGCGTAAAAGAAATTGGTGATAGCGTGAATTTCTTTAAGAAGGACCTCGACTTGAAGTGACCCACACACTTGATTTCATGACCTTCCTCTGAGGCACATATGGAATTAGACTTGCATAATCCAGTTATAAAACTACAACGATCTGCCCCTGACTTTGTTATAATTTCGAGTGTCGCCTTCTGTAACATATCCGTTATGAGTAGCCCTCTCCATCCTCTTCTTTAGGGTTGGTCGCGCTTAGTCTGTCTCCCTGAATTCGACCTTGCTCCCCAAGTGTCGCCATACCAGCAATGTAATTACAGTCGTAATGGTTTCAGAGGTGAGCTTACTAAAAGTCTAATGTAGACCCCCTCGTAAGTTTACATAGAGCTTTTGCTTAGGGCATCGTAAGGCCACAGTTGTGGCTTACTCGCTGAGCATCGAACATATTCAAATTATAATCGTCTACTCGACTAGCGTGCTTATTATCGGGTTGCGATAAGCGCCCTCTAAAAACAATGCATATTACTTTTTACGATTATTCTTCGCAGGCATTATTCATATCTGCTGCATATGCGCATTCAATAAGTCACTTGTGTATATTTATTTATGAATTATGATACCTTGAATTAATTTATTGGCCATCGAAAGTGTGAAGGTTTATGGGAGTTTTGTTTCAACATCGGGTTTCTGAAATATAAGTGAAAAGAATGCTAATGTCTGTCTAGTTATTTTTTTAATCAAAATGTTGGTTTCAGTTAACGAACAATCTTCCGATGTGCTCAAAATCCACACGTCATATTACTCGTAGATGTGTAGGTGGAATTAAATAAACTAAAATTGTCAAGACTGTATTCATGTTGATAAGTGGCTAAGATAGTTGACTTTGGTAAATGGCTAAGATATTTTATACTGGTCGTTGCATACAGTCGCGGTTGGTAGGTGGCTCAAATTGTCGGGATTGATAGGTGGCTACGATTTACGGGGCTGGTAATTGGCTAAGATAATCGGGATTGATATGTGGCTAAGATACTTGGGGCTGATAAGTGGCTAAGATTTGGTAGGTAGTTAAAATAGTCGGGGTTAGTAAGAGGCCAATGCATACAAGGCTGGTAGTAGTTAATACAAAAAAATCCCGGCAGATGTCGCAACAGTTGTTGTTGATCTACTTGATTACATACTAGAGGAAAAGCCGTATAACACGCTGAAAATGCGATAATTAGACTTTTCGGAAAATCGGATGGGAGAAGGTTACACGATCTATTGAATAATTTGGAACTCGAACACTCAAAGCTACAAAGGAAAATGCAAGCACTAGTAGGAGACAATCCCATGTCATACGCAGCGTTGAAATAACCGTGGACGGATAAACTACAACCACACACTACACAGATACTGGCATCACTCCCCGATGAATTAGAGTGTGTATCGGAGATATCTGACAAAATACACAACAACAGCCAGGGCAAAAGCGTATACGCCATATGATACTCAACAACAAACACATCACTACCAATGGATAAGATAGAAAAATTGTCTCATCTGGAAAAAATATAGTCAAAGATCCAGATTTTGGTAAAAAGCAAAAACAAATTTCAGCGTTCTCGCCTACAATTCTAAAATTGATCCTACTCTCCACATAGAAGAAGATAAGGTAGGTCGAACTCATTCTCTAAGAGAGCGTCTTACCTACGATACCTGCTGGTATAATTATGAATATGGAAAAGAGGCGAGCTAGTGCCGAGAACCATGCACCTTCACTTCAAGAAACTCCTACACGACTGTACAACATCAGGGAAACGATTACTCCGGCAGCAAGTAAACTGGACATTGGCTGCTGAATAGAACAGAGATGTCTATTTTACATCCGGGGACAAAAATACTGGATATTAATATTTAGTCGATACCGGTACACAAATCAGTGTTATTCCACAGGAGCGTAAACAAAAACATACATTATCTATATATACGCTACAAGCCGCAAACGGATCAAAAATCGAGACATTTGGAGAGAGATATTGCTTAACTTGGGTTTATAACGACCTTTTCCATTGATTTTCACACATGAAGAAGTAAAACGCTGATTCTTGGAGCAGATTTTTTTTATCCCATTTCTACCTATCAGTGAATATGGCTACACATTCTCTCGTCGACAGTGACATAAATCTAACA